AATAAAAATAAAAAAAACTAAAAAAAAAAAAGAAAGTAATCTTTCGAATGTTCAAATTAAAAAAGAAATACTTTAGAGAAAGTGAGAAGAAAGTAATAATAATTAAACGAAAAGAAAGATGTAATAAAAAGAGGAGATGTTGTATAAAGAAGAGGAAATTTGAAATTTGAATTTTCAATGTCCAAATTTCGATATCAAAAGAAAAAAGAGACGTATGAACGAACGGATGTATTTTTGAAAAAAGAAAGAAAGTAATTTTGAATTTATTCATCTTTTTAGTATAGGAAAATTGTTTGTTTGTTTGTTTTTTCTTTCTTTCTTTCTTTCTTTCATATTAAACAATTTAGAAAATAAAAAAGAAAAAAGAAAAAGAAGAAGAAGAAGAAGAAAAATATAATTATAGACGATTATACCCTAAAAATACGCATTGTAGAAGAAAAATCATCGAGAATTAAATCGAAATGATCTGACGAATAAAAAATACAATAAAATACAATAAAATAAAATAAAATAAAAATATATTATCTTAGATCTGTCAAGTTGTTTTTTTTTTTTTCGAAAAATATCATTGCCGATGAACTGCTGATGATGAGTACGATCTAGAAAAAAAAAAACAAAAAGAAAAAAAAACTAGAAAAAAATTAAATGAAAGAAGTTGACGACGATGAAGAAGAATGTTTAAAAAAAAGAAAAACATACAATAATAATAATTAATAATAATAATAATAATAGTAAAAATAATAATAATAAAGTACACAAAACGTGGAGAAGAAATGGTAGATGGACGATGCATGTGAAAAAAAAATAAAATAAAATATATAAAAATAATAATAAAAATGGAAGACGAATAAAACAAAACAAAACAAAACAGAAAACTAAAAACTAAAAACACATGAAAAGAATATCGAAGAAAAATTTTGACTATCTCCAAAAAGAAGTTGAAAAAAGAAGATGAAGAAATAAATAAATAAATAAATAAATAAATAGATAAATACGTATCAAAAAAAAAAAAAAAATAAAGGTTTATGGTGAGGTTGTAAGTAAACGAAGAAGAAAAAAAAACAAGAAAAAAGAAAAATAAATAGAATAAATGCAATATATGTATTATATACATATACAATGAGGGTTCTTTAAAATCGTACATCGTTATTTAAGATATAATATACGTGGGATATAATTAAGTAATATTTAAACAATAGTACATATTATTATAAAAAAAAGATTTCAAAATAAAATTGATCATTGTGTCGAGGAACGTTAAAAACAAATTTATTACAGTTTAAACAATCGATAATATTAATATATGGTACTATATTATATTATATTATAATATAGTACTGTATTAATATAGTACTAATATAGTACTGTATTAAAATATAATATCTGAAATGTGATATTATTTTTATATTTGTTTAATTCACTTGTTAATAATATAAATATAATTTACAAATAACGGTGTACGATTTTAAGGGATACTCACTGTATAACTGTATACATAAATATGTATGTATAATCGAGAACTCTCTTTAAAAAAAAATAAAATAAAAGACAACAAAATAATAACTGCATATCGGATGTGAACGAGTAGCGTGAAAAGATAATTAAATAATTCAAATAATTACTAATAATAATAATAATAATAATAATAATAATAATAATAATGTAATTAAACATCGTCTCTTTTAATTTTGTTATTTTTTAAATCGTTTACGTGTTAAACTAGAATACAATTAAATATGTATGGATGAATATCTCTAATCCTCGTGTAACATTGCTATTCTCTGAAATGAAAATGAAATGGCAAAAAAAAAACAAAAAACAAAACAAAAAAAACAAGAAAAGAATTAATAAGAAAATATCACAATTTTCAATTAGAAGTAATTCGAAGATCCTCACATCTCCTGCTTCGAGTGAGCTCAAATAAATCTGGTAATTTAAAATGAAAGTTTTAAAAATTAAAGAAAGAAAAAGGAAGAAAGAAAGAGAGAGAGAGAGAGAGATCTTACTACCTACTATTACTATTAAATACTATTACTATTATTAATAAAACACATTACATACTATACTTCACGCATACACACATAAAAAATATAATAATAAAATAAAATAAAATAAAATAAAATAAAATAAAAAATCGTATACGAATTTAAATTCGATAATGTAAACAATAATAAACAAAACATGGTTTTACAACACCACGTTGAAATAAATTATAATGAACGATATATGTATATAATATAATCGTTGCATATATTTTATTATTATTTTTTATTACTATTATTATGATTATTTTATTGATATTATTATCATCTCATTATTATTATTATTATTATTATTATTAATTTGTACTACTTTTATATTCATTTTCCTTTTTTAAATATCATGAATAATTATAACACATATACATACCATACTTACACACGCACATGCGTACATATGCAGCATTTAGAAAAATAAAAAAATAAAAAAAAGAAGAAAACAAAAAAAGATAATAAAAATAAAATGAATTATAATTGATGAATGAATTCTCTAATAACTCTATTTAGCATCTTATTGTGATGTGATACTAAATAAATTATATGTATTGTGTGCAAGAGAGAAAGAGGAAGATCTAAATGATGAATTTTTCAACTACGTAAGTGTGTTAAGAAGACAATGATCAAACAAACCCGTGTAAAAATACATCAATCAATTGCGTATTGCATTTATTTTGTTTATCTCTTCTCTTTATTTAATTTGATTTGATTTGATTTGATTTGATTTGCTTTGATTTGCTTTGATTTGATTTAATTTGATTTGATATGATATTTCTTTTCTATTATATTTATTCATTTCTTAGGATAATTATAAAAAAAAAAAAAAAAGAAAGAAACTTTGAAAGTATTTTTAAGATATTAACTACTATTAAAAATAAATAAAAAAAAAAAAAACTCTGTAAGAAGATGTTACGTTTTGAAAGTACATAATTAACTTGTCTCGCATCAGCTTTGTGTGTGAAACCAATTTTTATCTCCTTTGGATTGTAATACCGTCTCTCTTTTATAAATGTACAGTCTTGATCTTATTGTTTAATGTAAAATAAAAATGCAAATATTATATATATATATATATATATAAAAATAAAAATAAAATAAAAACAAAGAGAGAGAGAGAGATAGAGAAAGAAAGAAAGAGTAATAGAAAAAAGGAAGTTTCTATGCAAAAGACAAACCGAAAAATGATTGTCTCTCTCTCTCTCTCTCTCTCTCTCTCTCTCTCTCTCTCTCTCTCTCTACGAAAGTACTTTGCTGCATCAAAATGCATTACCATTTGTTTTTTTCTTCTTTTTTCTTTTTTTTACAATTCTTTACTTTACGCTTTATCTTCTGATAAGCATCAGAAAAAAAAACATTTTTTATTTGTTTTAATTTTAAACACGCTTTTAAAGTACAATAAAATAAAAATAAAAAATAAAAAAATAAAGTGCAGCGGTTTCATTGCTATCGAAAAGCATCGAAAATCATTTTTTGTATATTTAATAAAAAGAAAAAGAAAAAAAAAAAGAAATAAGAAGAAGAAGAAGAAGAAGAAGAAAATATACAAATTTTCAAATTACTGTAAAACACAGATCGTGTAACGCTAATAATAGAATTGAAATATAAAAAGAAAGACTGTTCTCGCTAGCAAGAAAATATTTCTCTAAATATTTCTTTTCGCTTCATACATAAATATATAATAATAATAATAATAATAATAACAATAATAATAATAATAATAATAATGATAATAATAAAAAGCTTTGTTTAACAAAATTTTCATTCGTCTAGTGTGAGAATATAAATAAATGATATTACTTTGATATCGCTATTAAAAACATAAGTATAACGTAAATAAATCAAATATTGTCCTTTTATCGTAGATATTGGTGTTGAGAGTGATTGAAAAAAAATGATAATGAATTCAAATAATTATTACCATCCACTATGATGAACGTTGTAAACATATTTTACAAATGAATTATAATATTGCCTTTTCATTTTGTTGAATTCGAAAACATGGATATATATATATATCACTTTGTACAATATGAATATCGTCAATATGGTATCTATCACACATACATTTACACATAATAATTCATATAAATTGCTATAATAATCCTCGTTTGTTGTTATGCACGTTTATTAAATAGTACACACAACATATATTCATGATAATTATTACAGCATATTACAGCAATAGCATGTTAACTATAGTTATGCTATTATTATTATTATTATTATAATTGTTCAAATATTTTACAAAAATAAGGGATGGTCCTCTCCTGATTGACACTAAAAATGCAAATAGAATTATACAAATTGTTTTCGAAGACAACAGAATTTATGGGCAATTGAAATTCATGAAATTAGTGGTATTAAAAAAAAAAAAACAAAAAAAAATAAAGAAAGAAAGAAGAGAAAGAAGAAGAAAAAGAAGAAAAATCAAAAACAAAAATATTAGTTGTTTCTTACTCGTTATTATCCCTTCTTGATAACTTCTCCATCAAGTTTCTTTACACTTTAACAACTTCATATATCAGGAGTGGCCTACTTCATTATAAAAAAAAAAAAAAAAAGGAACCAACGGCTGTTTGTTCCATAAATAATGACTAACAATAAATTATGTTCTCATTTGAAAATCGTTTCTTATCGNTTATCCCTTCTTGATAACTTCTCCATCAAGTTTCTTTACACTTTAACAACTTCATATATCAGGAGTGGCCTACTTCATTATAAATATATATATATATATATGACACAACACTTGACACATACAAAAAAAAAAAAAAAGGAACCAACGGCTGTTTGTTCCATAAATAATGACTAACAATAAATTATGTTCTCATTTGAAAATCGTTTCTTATCGACTATGATCAAGCAAAATCGATCAACGATCAATTAATCGATCGATCGTTCGCAATCGATTTATCGGCCATTCCTGTCAAATGTTGTTATCTCTACTCGACATCTCCGACATAATTACGGTAATATATTGATTTGCAACTGCATAAAACAAACATCTAAAAGTAATTACTTATTTGGTATAATATGTATTAATTATATAAATTATTGAACATTGTATCAAATTTTATATTCACTTCTTGTGGTTGACAATAAACTGATTTTATAAAAAGATTTTTTTTTTTTTTGTATTAAAACAAATTACAATAATATTTTACAACTATTTTGGATATCCCCATGGATCCTTTTTCTGATCCATCAGAATGAGGGAGGATTCGCAAATTTTTTTAAATATTTCACGAAGTCGTCCTTTAGGGATAACCTATAAAAAAAAAAAAAAGAAAAATTAAATTAATTTGTAGATATATTTTATACAACAAGTATAATAATAAATAGCAAGTGCTATTTTATTTTCTTCTTTTTGTTTTTGTTTTTTTTTTGAAATACATACTTCAAACAATTTATATTGCTCGCATGCAAGGATATCGGCTAATTGTATACAATCGGCATGTTCATTCATTTCAGACATGACAGTATGTAATAATAATGCAATTTTTGGAATGCATAATTCACGTAATTTTTTTAATTGATGTTCCCTTAATACTTCCTCCCGTATTGATGGTTCATTTGATTCATTATCAACTTCGTCTGAATTATTATTGGTGTCAACGAGCCAACCACCATCAGGAAATAAAAGAACGTTAAATAAAAGCTGCTTAACTGCCTGATATATAAAGAAGAGACAATATTATTAGTATTAAATTTGATTTATCTATTTAATTAAAAATTACTTCATTATCATTTTAAACATACCTTAGTATGATGTTGCATAGTACATTTCCATCTATCTAATTCGGTATTATATTGAGCTTTCTTATGATCATAAGCAACTTTTTCAGTGAATGTTGCATACGCTGATAAATCTTCCAATGGAGTTGGTTTACCATGATGGAAGTGATGAAACCATTCCGAAAAGCCTTCCTGTGCGTCAAGATATGTTTTATAACAAAGAAATTCTCTAATAGTACTTGATGCTTTTTTTGATAAATTATCAGTTAATGTAAGATTTGCGAGTGTATTTTCCATAGTTGAATAATCAGACATTACTGATTCAATAGAATCTGGTGGGATCTAAAATAAATATGTTTATATATACATATATATAAAAAATAGTTTTAAAAATGAAATTAAATTAACGTTATTAAATAAAATAATTTCTTTGTTACTTTATTGAAAGCTTTGCGAGCAGCATCGATTTTGTCATTGGTAAGAAAATATCTTATTAATGCATTAGTTTGCCACAATGCTTCCTCTCGCTGGTTTCTATAAAAAATGACCCAATCCAAAGCATTGATCTTTTCCAAATCGGCATTTGTGAGAGCACCCTTTAAATCGTCAGATTTAACTTCTGTATTTTTTTGACGTATACTTTCAACAACTGTCTTTGTAATAGCTTCAACATTCAAATTAGCATCTTCGGCAGCAGTCAAACATCTCTTGCGTTGCTCGAAATCGGTAATATTTTCTAAATACGAGGCATAATTTGATATTTGATCTTCCTGTGGTAAGGTAGCTGTATAAAATGCGATCAAAATTGGATCGCCTATTTTGATAAGAACTCTAACATATGCCTGTAATACTTTATCTCCTATTTTATCTTTCATATTTTTTCCAGTTTGTCGTAAAAATAGAATTAAATGTGCTAAGAATCTTAAAAATTGGGGATCACAGTTTCCTAGATCAATCATTGTTTCTATTTCTTCCATTAACTTTGGAATTTGATCTAATATTAAATACTTTTGTATAAGATGATCCGGTGTATTAGCTTGAGCACGTATCAATTCATTTTTAGATGCGTGAAGTTCCTTAAAGATTTCCTCCAACGAAATATTATTCTTCCAATATTCTTCGGGCATTGGTGCATGATTTTTTGGCATTGTATCTCTTAATTCAGCTTCAACTCTAACATCCAAGAGACCCTTCATATAAGCCCACAATGCATCTTGCCAAGACATAGCTACTTGTAACAATTGTTGAACATTCCCACAAAGACTGGCATAAATAGCACGATAAAACTGACCTGAATAAGTGAAAAAAAAAATATAAATAAGGACAATAGTATAATGTACACTAACATTAATGATAATACACATGAATTTTATTACCTACACGCTTATCTTGTGAAAGTTCCCAAGCACATTGTTTCCAAAGATCTCTATTAGGATTACCTATAATTGGTAATTTAGTATCTGTCAAAGGATTATTATAATTTGGATCGTGATGAGGTACCCATCCTAATAAACATGCAGCTCTCCACGGTTGACCGCAATGAATTGATAAAGCTTGCGCTTTTTGAAGACGACCACAACGTACTTCTATAAACATTCTTTTTTCAAGTCTAATGTCATCTTCTTTATCTAAATCGTGAATAGGTTTGCCTTCTCTTATAGGAGCATCAGGATCCATAGATGTTATTAATGGTCTGGAAGATCCAAAAGCTATTCCCATATTCTTATTTTGCAATTGATACAACGTATTTTCCCAAGCAACAGTTTTATCAGTAAAACATTCTATACTTGGTGATTTATTAGCTTGATCCAATGCATTTTTTTCTAACCAATCTATAATCAATTGATATTCCCTTACTTTTCTTTCAGTTTTATATAAATGTTCTATTATATTTTTTTCTGATATATAAGTTACATCAGAATTATCTTCCATCATGGTATCAAAATTTGACGCGTTTATCCTATTTTGATAAAGACAATATATGAGTCTCCAGGTGTTTCTTTCATTTTCTAATGCTATTTCTTCCATAGATAAGGCTGTATTTTCAACTTTAGCTTGCATACCTATAATAAAGCATACAACAAAGAATAAATACATTAAGAACAGAAATACATAAATACAACATATTCATGAATTAATCTTACATTATGCATGAATTAAAAAATGATATTTACCTCTCATTATTTCCAAAGTATCGGTACAATTTTGTATAAAATCAGCAATAGTATCGAACACTTGTAGTTCAGAGAGATGTGCTTGTATGCATTGTAAGAAATCATAAAATAATTTGGTATTAACTTCCCGCCATGGCTCGTTGGCTTTCAAAATAACTCCTGTTACGCTACTATCTTCCATAATTTCTCTCATAGTCATATCATTCTTTTCTGAACATGCCATTATATCACGTAATTCATGAGGTGCAACAGTCAAAGATATATCTAAATCCGAAAAATCTTCGACATCTTTGCGAGAATGAATACTTTTTTGCAAAGAAATTCTCTGTGGTGTTGTACTTTTAGTATTTAATCTTAAAAATGATTTTCTTTGCTTACTTTCTTGATTCAAAAGTCGTATTGACTGTGCTAAATTTTCTTTCATATTAATTTCGTTCTCCATTGTTTAATATAATTATTCTGAATGTATTAATAATAATAATATGATCACAAAGTAACATGTGAAAACATATATACTATAAGTTAAAAGTATGACTTTAAACGAAACACATACACGTATTTATTTATTTAATACTAATAACACACTTATAAAACTAACCTCACTTCAGAAATTATTCAGTTTGTAAAATTGAATTAATCGCTTTAACCTGTGAATGATTTGTTGGCTTAAAATTAACCAATCATGAAACAGGAAAAGCGATCGTTGCAGCCTCTACTGGAATTCAATAATAACTAATTAAGTTTTTTTTTTCGGTTATTTACTTTTTCCGTTCCTGAATTTATCAAGTGTAAAAACGTGTATACTATTGTTGAACTTTTGTTTTTATCTTTGTGTTATAATTTGTGTTTAATCCAGTAATTTGAAATAATCATCAAGATTAATCGTTACACTGTATGATTATACAATTGGAGTATTTCAAGTTGATAAAATTTTAAAGATAACGAAGCCTGCCATCATCCATCTATTCGATCAAGAAAAACTAGAAAAATCATCCTTTTTCTTCAATCTAATAAACCGAAGATTACAAGAATATTATAAACATATCTTTATTATATTATAGCTACAAATAAACTGTTAAGATAACAAAATATTCTCGCGTCATTTAGAAAGTGAACAACAAAGCATACTTGCAACTTCATCTAATTTGCTGCTAGATGTCAGACAGATCACAAATCTCACGTAACCTACAAAATGATAATGTTGCAGTATATATACATATACTTTAAATATACGTGCATCATATGCATATATTTATATTTTATTTTGAAAAGTATATTTTTTGGTCGATTAAGAACATATTCGCATACAAGGGCAGGATCAATTCGTTATCGTACTTGATAAGATGACGAAATATGTTTGGACATATCTAATACAAAATCAAATGTCATTAATAAATATCAAAAAAAAATATGACCTAAAATTTTAATGAGATTTGTAAATGAAAAAAATGTTGCGTATAATTATAAAAAGCATCGATAGGTGTCTATAGTATCGTTGCGAATTTAATGCCCTCTGCATCATACAATGGTATGACGTATAGATAAAACGATACTTCTAAAATGAGTAGCAGCATGTGGAATTCAGTCAGTAGTAGGTACGATTGACTATTGTTATAGTGACATTTAACAATAATATCTAATAAAACGTTGGATAAATTAATAAGTTCGTCGTAAACTTGTTATATTCCCCCATTAACGATAGAAGAAAATGGCAACTCACGAGGATATTGGCATTGGAGATTTTGTCCTACTGGATGAGATCAACATCGAGAAGGTCGTGGAAAACTTGAAAGTTAGGTAGGTTTTATTTGATCTCAATATTGTTTTTTAACAATATCGAAATTTATCGAAAACATAGTAAGAATGTCTATTATTATTATTTTCATAATTTGTTGAGATTTTTTTGACAGTTTGTAAGAAAGAATGGGCGCGCGTCTTTCAGTTAATTTGTTATTCTTGATTCATTCATCTCTACCGAGAGGGCGTGGTTCACACTTGCAGCAGGTGGTTGAAAAGCGCTAACAATTTAAATTTTACATTATTTTTTTTAAAACAACTTAATAATAATAATAATAACATACATATATATACATATCTAACAAAAAAAAAATACGCTATATTTATTCTTATTATTAAAATACGCGAATAATGTTTTCAAATAATTAAATATATGATCAAATTCTCGCATATAGATTTACAAAGGCATATATTAATGATTCACTAATATTTTTATTATTGCTCTATGTATAATTATTAATGTTGGAGAAAAAAAATGTCTTTAACAATGTGTTACTTTCGGTAGAACGATTGTACACCGTATAAGTACGTAATTCGCTTATCACATTTACGTGAAGTATGAGTCACCTGTTCGCTAAATCGGTGTGCGTTCGCATCATAATTTTCTTTAAATACTCATAGACGCATTACTTAAGAATGTGTCCTATTTTTTTTCTCTCTTTTTTTTTTTCGTTATATGTATATGTATGCATTTGTATTTGATTGTATATTTCATCTTTTATAAATAAAATTTGCTCATCTGTTTGCTCAAACAGACTCATATCTTGTTCTTTTTTATTTCTTTAACTTTTTTTGAACATACATATACACTATCAGTATGACGTGTTCATGTACTTATATTGTTGATAAAAAAAGAATAGAAAATTGTTATTGATAATAATTGATTTTGATAGAACAAATGCATATCTCTCTTTTGTCTGTAAAAAAATATTCTTAAAGTACACAGACACGCTCTCTCTTATCATTTAAAACTATATTTCTATAAACGATATAGAAATGTATATTTAAAATCGATCATATATTTACATTGTTTAATCATCTATTAATATCTATTTGTATTATTTCAGATTTAAAGGTGGAAAAATATATACCTATATTGGAGAAGTGTGTGTAAGTGTTAATCCTTATAAAAATACAAATAACTATGATGCGAACCATATTAATAAATATAAAGGTAATAGAAATTGAAATTATAATAAGCAAGATATGTCAATTTAATTTGTATCAATTAATTTGTTATTTTATATATATATATATTTTGTTCTTGTATTTTCATTCTTTCCTAGGAAGAGAATTATTTGAAAATCCACCACATGTATTTGCTATTGCGGATGCAGCACATCGTGAAATGAAGCAACAAGGTCGGGACACATGTATTGTGATAAGCGGTGAATCAGGATCAGGAAAGACAGAAGCTAGCAAAATTATTATGAAATATATTGCCGCTGTTACTAATTTAAGCGGACAACAGGAAATCGAAAGGTTTGTTATATTCTTAGTAGTATGTAATAAAAGATTTAATATGAAATATAAAAAAAAAAGAAAAAAAAAATAGTAAATTATAAAACATCATTATCTAATCTATCATAATCTCTTTCTTTTTTTTTTTTTTTTTTTTAGATAATTTATATTATTTTTCTTTCAATTAAAGATCTTGATAATGATACTTCGTATTTGATCTTTTTATTTTTACTATAAGATAGATGCGTTCACTTATATATGTATGTATATAAATATTTAATTAATAATTTAATTATATCTTGCGTAATTTATCAATTTCAGAGTAAAGAACGTACTTATACAATCAAATTCAATATTAGAAGCATTTGGAAATGCTAAAACAAATAGAAATGACAATTCGTCTCGTTTTGGAAAATATATGGACATTAATTTTGATTTCAAAGGGGATCCAATTGGTGGACACATAACTAATTATTTACTTGAAAAATCACGAGTAGTCTATCAACAAAAAGGAGAACGTAATTTTCATTGTTTTTATCAGGTATAAATAATCTAAAACACACGTGATCGAGATTATTTGTAACAATGTTAAATGAAATATTTCATATAATATTGAATTTAATTTTCTAGCTAATTAATGGTTGTAGCGAAGCTGACTTGCATCAAATGAAATTAGTGCGTGATGCTAGTGCTTATTATTATATCAATAAAGATGATAATAAATCAAATATAAATGATAAGGGTGACTATAAGACTGTTAACGGGGCCATGTCTACTTTAGGATTTTCACAAAAAGAAATCAAAACAATTTGGAATATTATCTCTGGTATTTTACATCTGGTAATATTATTTAATTATTTATTTGTAACTTTTCATTCATTCAGCTTGTATTTTTCAATTAATCTCACTTTATCACACATTTAGGGTAATATTATGTATAAAATAAATGAAGACAAACTAATCGTTGAGAAAAGTAATGCTTTAACTAATACAGCAGATTTATTTTCTATTGGTTCAAATGAATTAAGAACTGCTTTATCTCAAAGAGTGATAGCAGCTGGAGGAGAAATAATGCAAAAGACGCATACTTTAACGGAAGCTGAATATGGTAGGGATGCTTTGGCAAAGGTAACATAATATATATTATTCAAATTATATCTCATATAAAAAATTATAATGAATATGAATAATATTAACACAATATGTTTTAATTATTTAGGCAATATATGAAAGGTTATTTACATGGATCGTATCACGTGTTAATGATTCCATTAATGTAAATGACAATAACTTGTCAAGTAGATATCAAACAGTCATCGGTGTCTTAGATATTTATGGATTTGAAATCTTTGATGTGAACAGCTTTGAACAATTTTGTATAAATTACTGCAATGAAAAATTACAACAACTTTTTATCGGTAAGTTTATTATATATAATACATAATTGACTAATTAAATAACCAATACTTTTATCCTCTTTTCCTTATATTTTTTATTGCATAATACGTATGATCATATGATCATTTTAACATTGATCATACATCTATATATGCAATTATAAATGATAAGTTTATTTAATAGGATCAAGAGTCATAGAGACTCAACGCCAAGTATATACTTGGTGAGTATAGTACTTTATATGTAAATATAAAAATACTAATTGTGATCTATACTTTTTATTTTTCTTATATTTCTTATTGTATGATATATATATATACTTATTTTATTATTATTATTATTATTATTATATTATTTCTTACACATATTTATATAATACAATTAGATGTTAATTGTATGAATGTATTGTAATATGTAAAAAATTATATATTATAATTATATGTTATAACATATGATTACAAATTTTCAGAATTGGTTTTAAAACAAGAACAAGAAGAGTATAAGAGGGAAGGAATTGCATGGCAAAATATTGAATATTTTAATAATCAAATAATTTGTGATTTAGTGGAACTATCTCATAAAGGTATATTAGCAATCATGGATGAAGCATGCCTCAACGTAGGCAAAGTAACGGATGAGGTACGATAATAAATAATTATCAAATTGTATTATTTTAATGTTCGTCTAAAGTATCATTTTCTTTTTTTTTTTTTTTTAGATGCTTCTCGAAGCTATGGATACAAAATTAGCAGATCATCAACATTATTCTTCTCGACAATTAAAACCAATGGATAAAGAATTACAACATAGAATTCATTTTAAAATTAAACATTATGCCGGTGATGTAGTATATAACATTAATGGTTTTTTGGATAAAAACAAGGACACTCTATTTCAAGACTTTAAACGTTTACTTTATAAAAGCAATGATTCTATAATCAGTAATATGTGGCCAGAAGGTGCTCAAGATATTACAAAAGTAAATATAAATATATATATATTACATATTATATTATATATTGTAATAATTACAAATTGAAATGTACATTTTCATTATAAAACAGACCACGAAGAGGCCATTGACCGCTGGTACATTATTTCGTAATTCTATGATCGCATTGGTTAAAAATTTAACTAGCAAAGAACCATTTTACATTCGGTGCATAAAACCTAATGAAATTAAATCTCCTATCGTTTTTGATGAAGAAAGAGTTAACCATCAAGTAAGATATTTGGGACTCGTTGAAAATATATTAGTTAGGAGAGCTGGATTTGCTCATAGACAAAAATATGACAGATTTTTGAAAAGGTTACTGTATAACTTTATTTATATTATTATATTATATTTTATTTTATTTTATTTTACGGTACATCATTTTTTACGAGAGGATACTTTTATTTTTAGATACAAGATGATATCACAATATACTTGGCCTAACTTTAGAGGCGGTAATGATAAAGATGGAGTTCGTACGTTGATGGATGAAAAAGGTTTTTCAGATGACGTTAAATACGGTCATACTAAAATATTTATACGCTCACCTCAAACGTTATTTGCATTAGAAAAGGTTTCTTAATCTAGCATTATTATTTTCTTTAATTTATATATATATATATATTTATATATAAACACACATAATGCATAATTATTGATGTTCTTCAAATTAACATATTCTTTATTTTAGGCACGTGAAGATTTGATACCAGGAATTGTAATATTATTACAAAAACAATGGCGCGGTTACTTGTGTCGACAAAAATACAAAAAGATGAAAGCTGCATTATTTATTATAAGATATTATCGTCAATACAAGAGATATTTTTATATGAAAGCGTTGGAAAAGACTTTTATTAATGTTAAATCTATGCGCGACCATGGTAAACATTTAACATGGCCAAAAGAGAATTATGCTGTTCGTCATGTTGTACCCTCGTTAAAAATGATATTTGCAAGATGGCGTGCTTGGATGGTGCTTAAAGTTGTTCCTAGAGAAGATTGGCCACAATTACGATTAAAAGTAAATCATAGAGAAAAATAGATTTTTTGTTATCTTATACAATATCTTGAACAATTGATGAACAATCAATTTCTTATTTTATTTAAGATGGCTGCAGGAGCTGTATTACGTTCCAAAAGACTTTATTGGGGTCAGGATAGACGTTGGGAAGGAAATTATTTATCTAAACCAGATGAGAATCCTCACAATGATGTTTTCATTTCTTCGATAAATAATCTTCGAAATACAGATCATTTTAAGACTGTTCTATTCAGTTCATTCGTCAGAAAAACTAATAGGTCATTAAAAATATTCATTAGTAGGAGAATATTTTGAAGTATTGTTAAGTAAAGAATAACTAATTTCATTTTTTCAATGCAGATTTCACAAACAGGCTGATCGTGTTTTGGTAGTAACAGAACATGCTTTGTACAAATTAGAAAGTGTTAAATTTAAGACAATGAAAAAAGGTATACCTATTGCTGAAATAACTGGCTTAAGTGTATCACCTGGAAAGGATCAACTTATAATCATTCATTCTAATCGAGGAAATGATTTTATTATTTCAATCACTACCAAGGAAGATAGAGTCGGTGAACTAGTTGGTATATTAAGTACTAGATATAATCAGTAAGTAAAATTTGTTTATGTGATGATCGAAATTATTCCTGAAAAGTAGAATTATTATTATTATTATTAAAGATAATATGATCAATAAAATGTTTGTTAACAGATTACGTGGTACTGAATTACAAGTTACAGTAGACGTGAAATTTAAATGTATGCTGGGTAATAAGAGTAGAGTATTACGAGTAGAAGTAATGCCTGATATAATTGAACCGATATTTAAGAAAGATGGAGATCAAATAATTTATGCCATACCACCATCCATTGGTATAATCGATCCTAATTCTAGACAAGAAATCAGAACAGTTAGTTAAGTATAATTTACGGTGAGATATATAGATTTTAAATTATTTTATAAGAATATCCATTTTATATATGCATGTGCTATTATATTATAATTAGTAATATACACAACACTTGTTTTTTGTTTTTTTTTTTTTTATAAAGTATATAAGCATTTT